AATTTATTATACTGAAAGTTCATACAACATTTGTAATGTTCAAGAGGTTCCCCTAATTCCAAAGTTTATTTTAAACCTTGATTTTAGCAGGTGGTAGATATCACAATGTATTTTCAGCCTACCTGTAATTAGTGATGATCTTTCTGCTTATTTATTTTTATCTGGTATGGGTTATCAAATCAGGTAGTGTTTGTTTTTTTTTTTCTTTAGTGCAGAGTGGTTTTTAAATTACATCAAAAATTCCATTAGTGTCATCATCTAAGAAAATACAGGGGAAAAGTTAATCAGATCCTCTCCTATTTCATTTGATACACAGTAGATTTTCCCTTAGCATTTATTTCAACGATGCTTTGGCATACAAATCCATTTACTGTTAATACCTGTAACATATTATGGAAATATGATTTTTTTCTAAGAGAAACCTGTGTGATTAGATGGACAAATAATTGAGTAATAAAGTAATTCTAGCTAAGTTTTGTAGATATTGTAAAAATACAAGAAAGAAAAAATATTACTGTCATTAAGATGTAAATATGAACTTGAAGTCAGCTACAGTGAACTTTTTATTTTCTGGGGACAGAATAACAATTTGTAGATTAACTCTACCCCTGCCATCCCTATCCCCTGCCCACCCCATTTAGCTCTCCTTCTTGAGTTACTCAAATAAACCATGTTCTTACCTACCTTAGGTCTTTGCACATGCCTGAGTATCCTAGTGTAGTTTATTTTTTTACCCACTTTCCTGGACAACTTCTGCTCATATGTTAAATCTTAGCTCAATGAGCAGTTCACTGAAGCCCCAAAAAGTTCTAGATTCCCCGAATGTACTTTGAGTTTGCATTACATTGTAATTTTACATTGATTTGTGTAGTCATTTCATTAATGCCTGTCTTCCAACTCTATGCCCTATGAACATAAGGTCTGTTTTTTTTTTTTCTTGCCTTCAGCATTGTATTCCCAGCAACTAAAGTAGAATAGTTGCTTTATAAACAGTTTTTGAATGAATGATCTTATTTTTAATAGATGATGCTTTGGAAAAGAAACTCAATTTGTATGACTTAGAGGATCATATCCTGCTTCTTACACCCAAATGTAAAATACTGGAATAGACCTCTCTCACTTCCAAAATCTCCTTTCCTGAGTAAATTGTGGACAGCATCATAGAAAAAAAGATGTGCTTTCTGGAAAAAAAGAATTACACTAGTGGGCTTTGAGGGGAAGTTTTAAGCAAAATAGAGATATGAGGAGAAGAAGATAAAGCTATGAATTTGCACCTTCTCAATTATAGTCCTTTCTGCTTGAGGAGGTGGGGGAAAATGAAGTTTTGGAAAATAATGCAAACAAAGACAAACTAATTTAACAGATAAGCTATTTTTTCTTCAAAGTATTATTAATGTTTCTAAGAATTTATCCAAATATGGTTAGTGTTGCGTTATTTGAATTACTTTATACTCTAAAGAATGGCAAATATGTTTCTTATTATTTCTAAATATTAGATGCAAGTTTATTTATAAATATGGTAAATAATCCATCGAGTACTATTTCATCCCATTTCAACTAATTTTACCGAGTTTATTTTTGGACATTTCTCTCTCATACCCTTTATCACATTTAATTAATAACTAACTATATTTTCTAACAATGACAAATTGATGGGGAAAAGAATTAGTTTGATACAAGTGAAACTTCCTTTTGGAGTTTCTTTTACCTTTTTTCTTTTCTTAAATGCCTTAGAATACTCAATTGCATCTTGATAAGAAATGATAAGATATGCTAATAACATTTTCATTAAATGACTATTATTAAATGTTTAATTCCCATGAAAGAAGTTGGAATTTAGAATTACAGTAATGTTACTTGACTTCTACCATCTATGACACTATTGAAAGCTGAGCATTTAGGAGTACAGTTGTGCATAATCATAACTGCATTTTGGTAAGCATTGTATTCTACCAAGAAATGCACAAGTCATAAGAGGATAGCCCAATTAATTTTCACAAAATGAGCACACTCAAGTGACCAGCACTGAAAACAAGAAACAGAAGATGACCCACATCCTAGATGTCCTCATGGTGCTTCATCCCAAAACTACCATACCTCCAAAGGTAGCCACAATCCAGCCTTCTCCTATGATCAGTCATGATCACATACTCCTTTCCATCTGGTTTATATCCTCATGCTTTTGAAACTCAGCCATGTTGATCTATGTAGTTGCAGTTCATTCATTGTCATGGCCTAATAGTATTTTGTTAAATGATTATTCCACTACTTATTTGTCCACTTTGCTGTGATCGGGTAGTTTCTATTTTTAGCTATTATGGATAATAGCTGTAAACATTCTTATAAATGTCTTTTGGTAGACAGATGCATGCCATTCTGTACGGTATATACTTAGGAATGGAATTGATGAGTCATAAATTATATGTATATCCTGCCTCCGTAGATGCTTCTAAACAATTGTCCAGAGTAATTGTACCAATTTACACTCCTTTCAGCAGTAAGAGTTCCAGTTCTACATCTTCAGCAGAACTTGAAAATGTCTGTCTCTTTCATTTTGCCATCGTCTAGTCATGGTATATGCCATGTGACTTTAACCTTTGTGAATTATACTTTCTAAATTTGTAAACATAACTTGTTTCACATGTTTATACCACCTTTTTACCCTGACTTGAGTTTACATCCTAGAGAGCAAGGGCCATGTGTTAGACACTTCTCTGTCCTTGAATAAATCTAACATAGCAAGCAAGGCATGCACTTTTGTTAAGATAAATCTTGTCTCTGTGTAGTGCTCCCTTAAAAGATCATAGAGTGGGAGAGAGAGAGCATTAGAAGAGGAATAATACAAATGTGTTTTATTGATAGAGACAAAAAATAATAAGAGAATCTCTCTTATACTCTGTCAAATTTTATTCTCCATTTATGTATTCATACACTCAAGTCCATGTTGGGGCTGAAAAAAATGGTTTCCATTTCAACTCGTTTTAGTTAATTGCTTCCTTTTTCTACTGTGCAATGTAAAAGGATAATTAAAAATTATATTTCTCCTGACTACATTTCTTTAGGAAGATGGCTTCATTTTTTATGATGCAGATATTTCTCTCTCTTCACCTGTCAGTGCCAAGAGTGAACAGAAGTCAGAAGTCCACCACCAAACTTTTCCTTACTCCTTCTAGAAACAAAGCCAGCCATTGTGCCTAAAAGGTGTATCCAGATATGTGAGGACATAAAGTCCCGACACAATTCTCTTTTACCCAGATGCCTTCAAAATAAGCAAATAAAGGTTGGCAAGAATAGAAAGCTTACCCCAATGCCTTAGATGGCATTTACTACTAACAGTTCTTCACTGAAAATAAGAGATTTCTATAGAAATGATAATCAACCTCCTGTGAGTATATGGAGCTCGTAAAACCTGAAGAGTTTCTAAAGGTCAGCAAGCATTAAAGGTTTTTGTCCTGGGGATACATTTCTAAATAACCCTAGGAGAAGGAGAGGGAGAGAGGGAAAGAAAAAAGTTTTAACTTGATGAAAGTAAAACATGCAAGCTTAACAGTTTCTGGATTATCATTTAATTACAACCGTCAATCATTTCCCATCTGTCTTCTTCCAGTCCTCACAAATTTCATCTAAAACTACACAATACAACTAACAGAGAATATGTAACCCATTAAGGATCCTAAAGATGGGAAGCAATATTTAAGAAATTATAGAAGATTTTAGGAAATTCCCTAAAAATAGGATAATAGAATTCATCTTGCTATATATACGACAAAAACTCAAGACTAAAACTTTTCTTTTAATTAATAAGATAAATGCTACTTATTGCTTCTTTCTCTTTACCAGACATGAACTGATGATCATTTTCCAAGGGCTTTGGTTTTGAAATCATTTAATTACAAGTCATATTTTTACTAATGTGTGAAACTGACTTGCAGTTAGTCATTTTATTAACACAATTTTACATTCTCTTAAAATGAGGTCCATTTAACATTGAACTTTTAGAAATATATTTGCCCTGTTAATTAGCTCTTGGGGAATGCCAGCAAATGTCTTTAACGACAGCTGTTATTATTTTTTATTTTTTTGGATGGGGAGACAGAGTCTTGCTCTGTCACCCAGGCTGGAGTGCAGTGATGTGATCTCGATCTCAGCTCACTGCAACCTCCACCTCCCAAGTTCAAGCGATTCTCATGCCTCAGCCTCCTGAATAGCTGGGATTACAGGGGTGCACCACCACACCCAGCTAATTTTTGTATTTTTAGTAGAGATGAGGTTTCACCATATTGGCTGGGCTGATGTTGAACTCCTGACCTCAAATGACCTACCCGCCTTAGCCTTCCAAAATGCAGGTATTACAAATTTGAACCACCATGCCCCACTAGCTGTTATTTTTAAGGTTTAAAATGTTTTAATTTCTTCTTCTTGAGGGGTTCATGCTTTCATGCTGACTGTCCCTAACTTCTGCAGCCAAGGAATTAAACAGCTTTAGGCTTTTTAAGCTCCAATGTGTTCAGAAAAGTGTTTCAACTGTGGTAATCCCCTTGTCGTGCTGCATTTATCTCCCACTAGATACCCACATGCGTTCCTCTTCTTCTCAGGCAGATAATTGCAAAGGGTTTGAAACCAGAGAAGAGAGTTGAGCTGGTGCTGAGCAGTGGATATAAAAAGAAGTGTCACCCTGGTGGAAGTAAATAGACTCTGAGACTGTAATCTTTGCCCTTATTTATTTTCGAAACCATAAAGCCCAGGAGGAAGGTTCTTGTTTATTTGGCTACAGAAATCTTTGACTGCAGTCATGTATGGTTTTTAACTTGTTTTTATTTCCATACATTCCATTACAGCAATCTGCTCTCTTATACCACCTTGGTTTGCTCCCTAAATACAGTTTTCATTGCGATTTGTTGTTTTTGGCCATAGACTTCAAAATTCTTTGTGTGTGTTTTTTTTGTTGTTGTTGTTTGTTTTTTAAATAATGGTGTATTCATTACCTGTTTTCCCAACAGAGTTCATCTGGTGATTTAATGATCAGAAACATTCAACTGAAACACAGTGGGAAATACGTTTGTATGGTGCAAACAGGGGTGGACAGTGTTTCATCTGCTGCTGACCTCATAGTAAGAGGTAAACATTTATGCCTCCTTGAGTTTGTAACTTCACATCTTAACAGCATTCCTTACTGGAGGAAAAACCGTGATGAGATAGTATGTGAGCATACAAGTTATAATATTGATTTCATCGTCCCCACATAGACCACAGAATATGACAATAGGGGTGAGTGCTAATTCAAAGAAATAAAAATCTCAACTCTGCCCTTCAAATAGCTCTCACTGTAATTGGCATTCCACAGCTGCTGCCAAGCTGATATGTTTTTGAGCATGTCATTAATTCAGTGATTGTATTTAATTTGAGAGAGAATATTGTGCAGTGTGTTTGCTTCCAAAATAATCAGGATTTGGGAATAATTGTATGTAGGACAATTTTCTAAAAATAGAAAAAAAGTATCAGGATTATTCAAAATGACTGGGAAAATTTGCCAACCTGAGCTGCTGTCCAGGATACTGATTCGCTACTGGGCTGACAAATAACCAGAGTACATCATGAAATAAATCACATCTAGGTATCAGATTGGGAACTACAGAGATACACCAGTGGATTAAAGGGAAAGGCATCACACCAGGAGTAAAGGACATTGAATTTGGAAAGGTACAGGAATCCTGCTGAACAGAGGCTTTTAAAAGTGAATATCATCTGCAATCAGAGAGTATTATGGTTTGGGAATTACTGCCTCACATCCAAATTTAAGATCTAACAACAGAAATGGGGGGTAGAGGGAAGTAGTTGTTCTATTATCAGGTAAATGGCCTTTGCCCTAAGTGTTTTTGAAATTGGGAAAAGTCAGAGACATTGAAGTGGTCATGTGACATTCTCTTCTCTTTGACAGGAGAGGATGACATTTATGTAATTGCTACCCAGTGTTTCCATTTGTACCTTCCTTAGGTTCACCTGGACCACCAGAAAATGTGAAAGTAGATGAAATTACAGATACAACAGCCCAACTCTCTTGGAAAGAAGGTAAAGACAACCATAGCCCAGTTATATCCTATTCCATCCAGGCTCGGACACCTTTCTCCGTGGGTTGGCAAACCGTCACAACAGGTAAAGGCGGAGAGGCAGAAGTCATCTGCACACATACAAATGGATTTCAAGTCAATGCTATAGCATGAAGACTCTTACCTCTCAAATATTCCTTTGTAGTGCCTGAGGTCATCGATGGGAAAACACACACAGCCACTGTAGTTGAGTTAAACCCATGGGTGGAATATGAATTTCGGGTTGTAGCCAGTAACAAAATTGGAGGTGGAGAACCCAGTTTGCCCTCAGAAAAAGTAAGAACTGAAGAGGCAGGTTAGTGTTTTTGTTTTCTGAATAATGGGTTAATAGATTTCTGTGTACTTCCATTTCCCTTGGCTCTGAACTCCAGGCCAGCAGGGGGTCGGCCTCAATAATCCATTGCTGCAATTATCTGACCTTTCTAATGGCAAAACTGGCCATATGGCATTTGTCAAAAGAAACACGTGTAAGTGATTCTGATGTAGTGTGACATTTCCAAGAGTTCAGTCCATTGTAAACGATCATTAGTGCATGTTGAGTGAATATGTTTTTGTCACTTAAGGTTATAATTACTATCTGACATAGTTACCCTGTTAACAAGGGAAGTGCTGTTTTCATTTATAACAAGCATTGACAAATTGGTAGGATAATGACATTTGTGAGTTCTGCTGCTAGCAAATCTCATTTTGCCACCAAGCTCAGTGAAGGAGCTTAAACAATTGATGAATAGGTATATTTTGTCACTTCAAGTGTTGAATTAAGAAAGAATCATTGATAAGAATTTCCATGTGAGACAACTATTCACATAGACCATAAGACTGCTTTTATTATTCTAAAAATATCCCAGCATTAAAACTCAAACTAGAAAGTGTACATAGCATCACATTATAGGGACAACTGAGACCTAAAGACTTGCCTTTTCAGAATCTGTAATATTACTTAATATTAACTAAAATGAAGTTTGAAATAGAGCTGGTAGATCACTTTAGGAACTCAGCTAAGACGGAAGTCATCAAATATGTTTCAATAATTTTCATGATGCTATTTTACTCAGAACAATGCACATAATGTTTATGCTAGGAAATATGAGAAATAGAGGAACTATGCTTGCCCTGGTGTTCTGGTCATTTGTTCACACAACACATATTTTAGGGAGCATCCTCTGTGTGCTCAGCACTTTCCAGATACTGCAAGTACAGCTGTGACCATACCAAAGACCCACTTTCATGGGACGTATATTCTAGTTTTGTCCTGGGGTTCACTAAGGCTAAAGTTCTCAGTGTGAGAATCTGATGCCCCTGTGAAGTTTATAAATAATACCTCAAAACAAGATTCAAGAGTTTGAGTTTGGGCCATCCTTACATATAGCCAATGTTGTTCTCAGAATTATATTCTATTTGAAATAGTCACAAGCTAAACATTCATGCTGGATTGATTTCCCATCATCTCTGGTGAATCACTTTTTCTTGTTTTATTAACTCTCATACTAGCAAAATATCTTCCAACTTGGTCATGTTTTTTTGAGAGATTTTGAATTTTTTTATGATTTCATGTAAATATGTTGTTTGATGATCTCATAAAAATATATAAATGTATATATGTACATAAATATCCATATATATGAATAATGTGCCAATGATTGAATTATTTTAAATATTTTTAAAAATTGCATTGTCTTTTAGATAAATATTGCTTAATGCAAGTACCATTTCATCTCTGTTTCTCTGACCTGTACAGTTCCAGAAGTGCCTCCTTCTGAAGTCAATGGAGGAGGCGGAAGCCGGTCTGAACTTGTGATAACCTGGGATGTAAGTGTTTGGGCAGCATCTTCACTATCAGGGTGTTGCTGTTCCCATGATCATTATGGCTTCCCAGGTGGTGGTGCTGGGGGTGTGGTTGGTGGATGCTGCTTCTGCTGGTGGTAATATAGGTGGTGGTGGTGGGGTTAGTGGTAGTGGGGCTGGTGGTGGTGGTTGTAGCCATAATAGCTAATATTTTTTATGCTTTCTCTGAGCCACCCGCTATTCCCAGCATTTAGCATATATTTTCCTCATGTCTTCCATGTATCAGTCTACAAATGAAAATACACAGGCTCGGAGATAAGAAATAATTTGCCCAGGGTCACCTGGTTGGTAGACATAGGGACGAGTTATGTTGTGGCTGTTGCCCCTCAAGCTCCCCCTTTGACTTTCCAAACAGCCGTGCAGCCCCCACTGGTGAAGGCACCTATTCCAACAGGTGCTTGAGTTTGTTTCTTTCCTGGCCATTCTCTCAGCCCTTGGTTTACATCATCAGTAGGAAAAAGGTTAATTAACAGGTTTTAAGTCAAAAAGTACTAGAATTACCTGCATTTTTTGAAGGTGTTGATGATGTGTCAATAAAATTTTTGACATGACTCAAGTATAGCTTTGAGTTTTTCATTAATTTTTTTTTCCTTTTTTTTTTTTTTGAGACAGTCTTGCTCTGTTGCCCAGTCTGGAGTGCAGTGGCATGATCTCAGCTCACTGCAAGCTCCACCTCCTGGGTTCAAGAGATTCTCCCACCTCAACCTCCCAAATAGCTAGAATTACAGGCACATGCCACCATGCCCAGGTAATTTTTGTATTTTTAGTAGAGACGGGGTTTTGCTCTGTTGGCCAGGCTGCTCTCAAACTCCTAACCTCAAGTGATCCACCTGCCTTGTAATTCGTTAACTTATAAATTAGTATTTACTTCCTTTTTTTTTTTTTCTTTTTCCTTGATGGAGTCTCTCTCTGTCACCCAGGCTAAAGTCAGTGGCATGGTATCAGCTCACTGCAACCTCCGCCTTACAGATTCAAGCAGTTCTCCTGCTTCAGCTTCCCGAGTAGCTGGGACTACAGGCGCATGCCACCACGCCCAGCTAATTTTTGTATTTTTAGTGGAGACAGGGTTTCGCCATATTGGACAGGCTGGTCTCAAACTTCTGACCTCATGATGGCTGCTCGCCTCGGCCTTCCAAAGTGCTGGGGTTACAGGCGTGAGCCACTGTACCAGGCCCCTTTTTATTTTATTTTTTTCAGTTTTACTTCATTATGCTTAATCACTAGTCCAATGTTTGTTCTCATAAAGTCAACATTAAGAATTAGATAATTTTTATTTGACTTAAGAGATCAGATATTTTCAACTGAAAGTATATCATACTGTTAGAAACTCAGATTTGAACCATAAGATGATCAGCTGTCTGAATAATCACAGAAAACTCCAGTTCATTATCTGGATGGCTATGAAATGGTGGCATATGTCTGTTTAAAAGCAACTGACATGACTCTGCTGGTGATGTTTTACTCCTTTTTTCATCCAACTGCTTAATACAATGGTAGATGATGAATTGATGACTTTTACAAATGCCTGTGGATCACAGCTCCATTCATTTTTGCCTTGCCCTTATGTGTAAGGGTGATTCAGTGTGTCTTTCCTTTATAGCCAGTCCCTGAGGAACTACAGAATGGTGAAGGTTTTGGGTATGTTGTTGCTTTCCGCCCTCTTGGGGTTACCACCTGGATCCAGACAGTGGTGACATCCCCTGACACCCCAAGATATGTCTTTAGGAATGAAAGCATCGTGCCATATTCACCATATGAAGTTAAAGTGGGTGTTTATAATAACAAAGGTGAAGGACCATTTAGCCCAGTGACAACAGTGTTCTCTGCAGAAGAAGGTATGGAAAACATGACTGTGTTTCAGCTCTGCCTAGTAACAATTATTTGTGCTCCAAAAATGGATATGGAGTCTCGTTTTGACTTCAAATATATTTATTCCAAAGAACAATGATCCAAGTAGTAGTTAGATTCCCAGTGCAAGTGATAAATATCAATCATAAATGACTTGAAGTGTAAGACTTAATGGATAGTTAGAGGATGTAACTGTGAAAGGAAAATAAAACCTCAGGACCCCAATTCACTAGGCCAAAAGGAAACAATTAAGCTGAATGCTGAGTCATGCAAGAAAATGCCTTTCCTTTATTCCTAACCAGATAGCTACAGACGAAACATTAAATCTCTCTACAGGTAGCTACTCTATGTTCGCCTTGCCTTATGTAAAGTACTGATTTACTGAGCAGGAGACCTAATTGATTAGCCTCCTATCTGCTCCTTTTCCCTTGCAACATGCAGATTACCATACCCTTCCTCTTTGCACTGCAGCCCACTCTAAATATTAAAGCCCTCAAATTCAATCTTTGGAAGTGGACACAGACCACAGACTGTTTCTGTGAACCCATGTTTTTTGGTTTTTTGTTTTTTGTTTTCTTCTGGGCATGTCCTTAACACCTTGGTACAATAAATTCCAAAATTGAGACCTGTCTCAGATCATAACCATCAATTTAAAAATCTGTTTTGAGGAACACTTCCTATGTTCCAGTTTATGAAGCAAGGAAAATCACAGCCTTACCTTGGGGTAACAAAAATATACCCCTTGGAGCTACCCTAGTCCTAAGTTGTCCAGTGGTTCCCATGGCCTGAGAAAGGGATGTTACTGGATGAAGAGTCAGGAGCAGTGATATCTCATTCAACACATATGCAATATGCAGGTTTGAGGGATATGAACCTGCTGGTGGAGATACAGACATACTTCACTCTGGACCATTCCATTTCTTTGTCTTTCTTTTATATCTGTCTCAGATACTGAGACATCTACATTTTGTCTCATAACCGCTTTAGAAAATAATCAAGGTAAAAGAATTATACAAAATTGCCATTTCATAGATCAGCAACAACTATTGTAGTTTTTTTGTAGTTCTACAAAAAAAAAAAATAATAAATGGCAAAACTAACATGTATTCAAGTTTTACTACCCGCCAGACATTACCTGATTTGATATTTCAGATAAGAAATATAGGCACTAAGCTCTTTTTTTTTTTTTTTTTTTTAATTTAGTAGAGACGGGGTTTCACCATGTTGCCCAGGCTGGTCTCGAAATCTTGAGCTCAGGCAATCTGCCCGCCTCGGCCTCCCAAAGTGCTGGGAAAATCCTCTTTGAATGTAAGGGACAGGTTACCTAAGAGAAAGGCACAGCATTGCAAACATAAAATTAAGTAAGTAGCTAATTTCAGAGGAAAAGACTGAGTTTTAGAAAGCCCCTGTTCGCTGGCAATAAAAAATGTGACCATACAAAACAGCCTGTAGCATCATTTCCAGCTTAGGCCAGTTAGTAGGGAGGAAATCATGATGTGTTATGTGTGTGGTCTGGGCCTCAAGCCATTGGAAAATGCTTAGAAGAATTTGATCTACTATGTTTGTAAGTCTGATTTACTTGATTTACAATTTCAGTACTTGGCAAAATGTTGTTAGATCTGTATTTGAGTGTTTAAAATAAGATCTGTACGTATCTTAGTCAATTAAACATTTGAGATAATAAAAAAAAAAAAGAAATATAGGCACTATTATTTCCCATTTACAAATGAGAAAATGGAAGCCTCATAAAAGAGAGTAATAAATTTGCCAAAATTCCTAATAGTGATTGGTACAGCCAGTATTTTAACCAAGGGCCTTTGCCCTTAACCATTCTGAGCTCACAAAATATATCAGTGTCTCCCCTACCCTCCAGACCTGACAGTAAGTTGCAAAAAGTGGTCCGCAGTTGTCATTCCTAAGAATAGTAAGTAGAGTTGATTTTTCTTTGGATCCCCACCCCTATTCTTGCCTTCTCACTTTCCGTTGAGTTCTGAGAGGGATTTTTTTTTAAGGATTATAAAAGTCTTTGCAGAAGAGTCTTAAATTCATAGCCAAACCTCATTACTAAAAGTTGCCAGGGATTGCAAGGGCAAGTGAGAGGTCTGGGGAGTGATGGCAATTATCCAGGGAGTTTTTGGACACTGTTCACCTGTGCATCCAGGACCTAGGTGCTGGCAACTGGAAAAGAGGGACAGCCACAGCTTCTTACCCATTGTTGCCTCCTACCCATTGTTGCCTCCCTCATTTTCCTTCCCCTGTTACCATTTTTGCTCCCACTGAAGAGTCAGCTAAAAGTCTTTTTGTTTAAACATGAGAAATGAATTGGGCTTACCTAAGGAAGAAGCAGAAGATTTCTGTGAAATCTACTAGGTTGTCTCTGTGAATCCAAGGGAGAGTTATGTAGCAAACCTCACAAAGAACTTTAATCAGAGAAGCCCTGAAACCTCAAAAATTGGTCTGCTCCTCTACAGCACCTGCACTGGATCAGTGGGCTCCAAGTACTCCTTGACTCTCCAAACCAAGTTTCAAATTTTCAGGAGAGAAAATCTAAGAGGCCCAACCTTAGACCAGGAATTCATCTCAGCATCAAGCCACCTTGTCTGAGAAGCAGGATCATTTGACAAGAGAAATGCACCTGAACTGGGCCCTGAGAGGGGAGAACCACTGTGAACCCCATAGAATCTCAACAGTGCTTATTACAAAGGGGGATCTTCTTGCTGTATAACAAACCACCTGCATTTCTATCTACTCCTTCAAAAGGACATGCTATCCACCACATTTCAGTTGTCCGTTCTGTAGGCCTCGCTAGAGAAGGTACTCACTCAGTGTTTATTCTGTAAATGAGCTTTACTTAAGCTAGACCTTTGTTTGGCAAAATGAAAACTAAGTAGCATTTGTGGACAGGGAAGTTCCCAAACAGTAGGAAAGAGATGAAGGGAAGGAAATAAAGACAAGGTGAGGAGAACACAGGCAAAAAAAGGAAGATAAGGAAGATGCCAACAAAGACGTGCAAGGGAGGAAAGTATAGGTAGCCATAGCTGTTTAGCAAGGAAAAGCCTTTGGCTATGATGCCATCTTTTCCTAAGAAACAGAAACGCACCAGTGTCTCTATTTTCAACATATGGTGCCAGAATATTTCATAGAATTTTCAAGTATGTTAAAATGCTTCTATAAAAATAAGAACGTTAATATATGTATTAAACAAACTGCCAAAATTAGCGCCATATTTCAACTTCTGTTTCCGAACAGAGCCTACAGTGGCCCCATCTCAAGTCTCTGCAAATAGCCTATCTTCCTCAGAAATTGAGGTTTCATGGAATACCATTCCTTGGAAGTTGAGCAATGGACATTTACTGGGCTATGAGGTAATTTCTTTTCTGATTAATTCGTGTATGTGTGTCACATGCTACTTTGTCTCTTTACATTTGAAATCCTTAACAATGACCTCTTATTTGAAGTCTATCTTTGGCTGAAATTTTTTTATCAACACATTGTTTCATCTGATGTTCAATGTATACTGAATTTAACCAGTTGAATGAAAGTAACATTAGTTGGAGTAGAAAAGGAACGAAAAAAGAATACGAAAGGAAATCATGTATCACGTGGGCCAAATATTTTAGATGGGTTTACTAAAAATAAGGGTGAGATTGAGCTGCAGTATTAAGGTCATAGAGTACTTTCGTCAACAGGAAGTCACTGTCCTCCAGCTCTTTGTCTTACTTTCTTGGTGGCTTTGTTACATTGTGGGGTTCTTTTATAGGCTCTAGAGAAGCTACCTGTCTGTAAGATACTTTGAGCCTTCAAAGACCTCTCTGTTTAGTGAAATAGGATAAACATCTGAAAGAGAGGATAATGTAAGACCAAATATAATGAAGGTCTGACTAGGTCACTCAAACAGGAAATGTTTGCATTGTCAAGAAGGATGGGACATATTGAAAGTCTTTATAAGGGTGGTAAGGCTTAACAGGACTTTCAAAGGAAAGTAAGTAAAGGTGGAAGGAGTGGAAAACATTCTGGATTAGGCATGGCATGATGGAAAAGCAGATAAGAGGCCTACCTGCCAAAGGTTCCTGTTTGAAAAGTAGGCACAGGAGGACCAGGTCACAGGTGGCTTTAAAGGCTAAGAAGAACGATTTGAACTGGGTCCCCTATTTAGTAGTGAGCAGTTAGAGGAAACTGGGAGCAGTAGAGCCAAGAACTGGCAAGATAAATAAAATGCAAAGAAGATTTTGCCAACAATGACATTGTGGGATTCATAGTTGTGATTTCATCCCACCCACAGCTGTCTTCTTATGAAGCTTCCCTCCAAGCTTCCCTGAGGAAGTGTGTAACTCCTGATTCAGTGGCAGGCTTACACGGGCAGGTTTGCATCACAGGGCCACGTACCCTTCCACTTGCCAACACACCTGCAAATGAGAGCTCCAGGGTGGTCTCTTGATCAAATGTAAATGCTCTGTGGACTGTGAAGCCTAGCAAGTCGGATTCTTGTTTGAGATATTTAAATAAGAAATATAGAGATTATAATTAGTGAGTGTAATGCAGTAGTGTGTCAAATTTGGGGCTCAGTTCAGACTTTTCAAACTAAGGCCATGGACACGCAGGACGACGCTAATCTGCAAAGATGAAATACACTCCCATGCAACCCTAAAGAATGGAGGAGACAGGGGCTCATGGAACCTGCAAGAGGGCAGAATAAGCCAGGTGTGGTGGCTTGCACCTGTAATCCCAATACTTTGGGAGGCAAATGTAGAAGGACTGCTTGAGCCTAGGATTTCAAGACCATCCTAAACAACTTAGTGAGACCCCATCTCAATAAAATATACAAAAATTAACCAGGCATGGTGACGCATGCCTGTAGTCCTAGCTACTTGGGAGGCTGAGATGGGAGAATTGCTTGAGCCCAGGAGGTCGAGGCTTCAGTGAGCCGTCATCCTGCCACTGCACTGTAGCCGGGATGACAGACTGAGATTCTATCTCAAAAAACATGGGGGCAGACAGAATAAAATAGCTCTTTGACAGTCATTCAGTTCTCAAATGACTTGGCTTTATTCTTTTTCATAATGTTACCTTGCCCTTTTTTTTTAATAGATTCTCTTTTTATTTGAACTGCCTTGAGAGAGTTTCTGTTCCTTGCAACCAAACAAGCATTGACTTGAATTAATATTAACAAATTAAGAAAAGAAAGGATAGGGAATAGAGCAATGATGCTCAAAGTATGGACTGTGAAACCCCTACAGCAGAATTACCTGAAAGTGTTGTTAAAATTGAGCTCCCACAGCTCTCCCAGGACCCACTCAATCCAAACGTTTAGGACTAGGTCTTGTTAGTGTATATTTTTAGTAACTATCTGTAAAGAAACATCTTTCTGCACACTTAAATGTAATAAACACTGGTCTTGACACAGAGAAGCCTGATCAGAGACAGAATAGTCCAGACTTAAGGAAGAGAGAGTATGAAGAAGTAAAACACCACACAAATACAAGAGAACAACTTAATGCACATCTTAAAGGAAGCCAAGAATAGCTGGATGGAAGGTTTCTTTAATTCCATGACAATGGATGTAAGCAATGAAAGATGATGGGGGGCCAACAGTAGCTCCCTCGTGGTTAGAGAACTAGCAGTGACATTGGCAATGGAGGTAAAGGTATATGGGATGGAAGGAGCACAGCTGTAAGGGAGTGTGACTCTGAGGTCAGTCCATAGCAAATCCCAATTCTACCACTTGCCAGCTGTGTTGGGAAAATTACATAAACTCTGTGAGCCTCATTTTCCTCACCTGTAGAATGGGGACACTAATAGGCCTAATTCATTAGGATATTGGCAGGATTGGATAAGATTAGGTATGTAATGAGGTTCTCATAATTTCTGGCTCTTTATTTCTTTATCTATCTATCTATTTTTGAGACGGAGTTTCCCTCTTGTTGCCCGGGCTGGAGTGCAGTGGCGCGATCTCAGCTCACCGCAACCTCCGCCTCCTGGGTTCAAGTGATTCTCCTGCCTCAGCCTCTCGAGTAGCTGGGATTACAGGTGCGCACCACCACACCCAGCTGATTTTTGTATTTTTTAGCAGAGATGGGGTTTCTCCATGTTGGTCAGGCTAGTCTTGAACTCTTGACCTCAGGTGATCTGCCTGCCTTGGCCTCCCAAAGTGCTGGGATTACAGACGTGAGCCACTACACCTGACCAATTTCTGGCTCATCATAATAAACAGTCAGTAGGTGTGAGACATTCCTCAGAAGAATTTTTGAGATATTAATGTATCTATTTCTCCCTAGTAAATATTCTGCAGCAAATAATTGACAGAAAGCCCCCTTAACTCAAGGGATTATGCCAAAAGCTATCAAAAGGAGTTGCCTACAAGACACTTCCCTTCCTAGCTTTGTTTCAAAAGTTCAGGCCATTAGGGAGATTGTTCCATGTTTCTTGGAGGGTCATAGGAGAGAAACTGCAACTGAGGAAAACATACAAGAGAAATTTCCAATGGCATTGGCAGAAATAAATGTCTGAAGCTTACAAAGCCTCCTGGGGCATACATCTTTCTAAGGCAGTGCCCAGGTTGATGGCAAGATTGAACAACTGTGTTTCCCACACTCAGCAGTGATTACTCACTCACCAAACACGGCCCCCAGCTGCTAGAAGTAAAGGGCTCAAATCAAACACAAAAATAAGTGATCTTGGGGGCTTTGGGAAGGGAGGCCCAGGAATGACTATGCCTGAATCTCCCATTAGGCGAGCAGGATATGGGATTCAATGTTTGATCAAATTTATTTAAAGAAAATAACACAGCTGGGCACGGTGGCTCACGACTGTAATCCCAGCACTTTGGGGGCCAAGGTGAGTGGATCACAAGGTCAGGAAATCGAGACCATCCTGGCTAACATGGTGAAACCCTGTCTCTACTAAAAAGCAAAAAAAAAATTTAGTAGAGAGGAACACTTTTACACTGTTGGTGGGACTGTAAACTAGTTCAATCATTGTGGAAGACAGTATGGCGATTCCTCAAGAATCTAGAACTAGAAATACCATTTGACCCAGCCATCCCATTACTGGGTATATACCCAAAGGATTATAAATCATGCTGCTGTAAAGACACATGCACACGTATGTTTATTGAGACACTATTCACAATAGCAAAGACTTGTAACCAACCCAAATGTCCATCAATGATAGACTGGATTAAGAAAATGTGGCACATATAAACCATGGAATACTAGGCAGCCATAAAAAAAGGATGAGTTCATGTCCTTTGTAGGGACATGGATGAAGCTGGAAACCATCATTCTGAGCAAACTATCGCAAGGATAGAAAACCAAACACTGTATATTCTCACTCGTAGGTGGGAATTGAACAATGAGATCACTTGGAAACACAGGGCGGGGAACATCACACACTGGGGCCTGTCATGGGGTGGGGGAAGGGGGGAAAGATAGCATTAGGAGATATACCTAATGTAAAAGATGAGTTAATGGGTGCAGCACACCAACATGGCACACGTATACATATGTAGCAAACCTTATGTTGTGCACATGTACGCTAGAACTTAAAATGTTTTTTAAAAATAATTAAATAAATAAATAAAAATACAAAAAATTAGCCGGGCGTGGTGGCGGGTGCCTGTAGTCCCAGCTACTCGGGAGACTGGGGCGGGAGAACGGCGTGAACCCGGGAGGCAGAGCTTGCGGTGAGCCAAGATCGCACCACTGCACTCCAACCTGGGCGACAGAGCAAGACTCCATCTCAAAAAACAAAGAAACAAAAAAGAAAATAAATGAACACATATGGCACTCCTCAGATGGGAGACTGACATGCACACTCACCGTGAACAGTGTTGTCCTTTTTGGAAATCATGACAGGATCATAATTCTTGACCTGGTTGTAACTTGTAAAATAGTTAAGAAAAATAAATGGAAGAATATACATGAATGGCTTGTGGGATTCCAAGCAGAACAGAGTGCTAGCAGTCACTGGTGGTTGTTGAACAGCTTAGGGGCAGGTAAATGTTGATTGTTTAATATAGTCATGCACTGCATCATGATATTTCAGTTTAGGACAGACCACATATACAACAGTGGTCCCCTAAGATTATAATACCACGATTTTACTTTACCTTTCCTATGTTTATGTATGTTTGAATATACAAAAATGTACCATTGTGTTACATTGCCTACAGTATTCACTATAGCAACATGCTGTACAGGTTTATAGCTCAGGAGCACTACGCTACACCATCTAACATAGCTGTGTAGTAGGTTACACCATGCAGGTTTGCATAATTGCACTCTACGACGTTCACACAATGCAACAACCATCTAATAATACATTTCTCAGAACATATCCCTGTCATTGTAACACGTAACTGTATATAAATTTAGGTCAATAAGAAGTCATCCAGATAAGAATATTTTATAAGAAAGTAGAATTATACCATTATTGGTCACACCAAGAAAGAGAGTTTCACTGAAAGACAGAAAATTTAAAAATCCTCATAGAACCATCACAGTGTCTAGTTAAGTCCACACCACTTTAGAATTAGACAAACCTGTGTTCAGATATGCTAGGTTGAATATAAACTCTGCAAGGGAGACGTTAACTCAGCCTTTTTCTTCGTTGATCTATCCCCAAGTGCCTGGAGTAGTATCTGACATACAGGAGGCATGCAAAAAATATATGTTGATTGAATAACTGCAGTTTGGGCTCTGCTACCCTGTTGCTGTATGTCCTTGAGCAAGTTGTTCGAGCTCTCCAAGGCTCAGTTAAAATAGAGATAATAATAACTCACAGCATTGTTTGCAAATTAAATGAGATAAAGCAGCTATTGTCAAAATGGCCCAAAGAGACTCGGGGCTTTCACTTTTCTCTGTTTTGAATATTGGGCTTTGGGATGAGATTGTACTGAAGAAAAAAAAACAGTGAAGTAATATATAGTAATGTAGCACAATCCCAGTGTGGGACCCAGTGACCACCATTTCTAATGCATGCTGATATTGCCGTCAAAGTGGGACACAGAAAGATGAGAAGAGCTATGGGAAAATGGGACTTTCTTGAAATTAATTACAGGTTGAAATGCATTGCCGCTTGCCTGTTTGTAAAGAGTAGCAAATAGAATGTCCAAATGTAGCATGAATGCAGTATTGAAAGGAAACAACGATTAAACATTTCTTTCCCAAATGCTTGGTAAGTATAAAGAAAAAGGAAACAAGCTGAAAGAAGTACTAATTGGGAAAATCTTACAAAATAATTTATGTAATTATACCAAGATAAAAATATATCTTTTCTTAGTTTCAGTAATGATTTAAAAATTAACCTTGGGTGTGGGGAGAAGGACTTGGCAGAGTATTTAATTATCAGTCGTGTGGCTAACTTTCTGGGTTGCAGTTTCTCCAGTTTGGCTTTAAAATTGTTAATAGCTCCTGCCTTTCTCTCATCTCAGTGAGGGTTGATCATGTGCCATGTGGCATGCTGAGCACACATCATCATTAGCATCTCGACTAATTTTCTTTCTGATTTGACCAAGCAGTAGTTGAGAAGCTCATTTCCCTGGGCTCCAATTTATTTCATCAGCTAAGCCGTTACACTCAGGCTCAGATCTTTTCTGGTGCCCTTTTGGGTAGGAACAAGAGATACAGACATGATGAAGAGAGGCAGAAGCCTTTAAGTTCATGGATCCTGGGTGCCTGAGGAATGAAAGCTCCCACGTTCTAGTGCGGTATCTACAGTCCGTTTCTTTAAAGTCCTTCTCTGTTTTGAAAGAACCACATTTGGGAGAATGACCTTGATAGATGATTAAAACAAGTCTACACTTGTGAAATGATACAGATTAGCATATTTTGGAGGAATCCATTTTTTTTTAAGTTTGGCAGAAGAACGTAAGTAATGTGCCATAATAGAATGCCAAACTTAAACTTCATTGATGCCTTCTTCCAGCCTCCTGTTCCAAACAGCTGTACAGAATATGTTCCTAATATTTCAATTAGAATGAAGAAAGATGTAGGCCAGGCATGGTGGCTCACACCTGTAATCCCAGCACTTTGGTAGGCTGAGGAGGGTGGATCACCTTAGGTGAGAAATTTGAGTCCAGGATGGCCAACGTGGTGAGACCCTGTCTCTACTAAAAATACAAAAATTAGTCCGGCATGGTGGTGGTCACCTGTAATCCCTGCTACTCAGAAGACTGAGTAGGAGTTCAAGCAGGAGAATTGCTTGAACCCGGGAAGTGGAGGTTGCAGTGAGCCGAGATCGTGCCATTGTACTCCAGCCTGGGCAACACAGTGAGATGCTGTCTCAAAAAAAAAAAAAAAAAAGAAAAGAAAAGAAAAGAAAAAATATGTCAAATATGTGAGTACTTTTTTTGAGACTATGAAAATCTCCCTGGAAAAAAAAAGACATATGCATTAGGTCTAATTCTCTGAAATCGGGCAAAGAATTCACTCTAGCACAAGTCAAATGCATATGGAAAAATAGGATACAGACAATTCAGGCATACTGAAATAAATATGACAGGCACAAATGCATTCAAGTGTGTATAATACAGACTTTTGAAGAGGGTCAAAGGGTTGGTTTTACTGGAGAGAGCAGTAGCAGTAGCCTTTTGTGAGTGAAGGTTGCCTAAATGGTGCTGTATTCTTTATTAGACAAAGATATTCCATACCAAATGGTGGCTCAACACTGGGGGAATAAATATTCCAGCCTCTCTTTCCTTCCATCCTCCCATCACCGGCATCCTATTACTTACACCAAGTGAAAAGCCACAGGGCAAGGGAGTCAGATGGACAATAGTTCATACCAGTCAGCTCTCCTAGGGACTGACAGCAGAGTGAAGAAGAGTGGAAGACAGATCTGGAGTTGTCTTCCTAAAAGAAATTTAATGCATTTTTACCTGCTTTCTATTTATTTAAATGTGTCTGGTCTAACTGCTAAATTAAAATATTTGTCTCTGAAAATCTATAAGTATGAATATAATTCTTTTAGTCTATTAAGAGTATTTCTGATTCAATAGCTATTCTTTAATGGCTGAAAAAATGCCATTTTAATATATTATTTTTATAAGCTGCATTTCATTTTTAAATTTAAATTAAGTGAAATCTCTGATGCAGTGGTATTAAGGACTCTTCACAACAGGAACATTCTTTTTTGGAAAAAACAAATTACTGGAAGTAATAGAGATATTTTTAATTCTGATATTTCTCAATTGTGTTTCTGTTTACTTACCCAAATAAAAATATATTGGTTTGTGAAATGGTTTTATGATTCTGAAGGCAAAAAATTGTATTGCCTCCTCAAGAAATTGGAGTTTTGATGTTTCATAGATGAATACAATATTGGGAATTGAATACATAGCCTGGTGAATCTCTGATGTAGGAAGGAGGGAGGCATTTTTAAACTATGTTCAGGTCATTCAACAATTCAACAGCAGTTAATGGTTAGTATGTACAGACTTTGCTGCGAGCAGTAAAGCTATGGTGATAACCAAGACAGACAAGCCCCTGCCTCAGGTGTGTGAATCCACCTTCACATCCTTTCCCTCCTGCTGTCTGCTGGGTGAGGAAATGTAGTTAATTTCTGTCCCAGGTGCACATCCTCACTGGCAAACTAAGGCATAGTCACCCACGACTGCTCAAGAAGATAGCCTTTATCTCTCAGGTGTCTAGCAAGGAAAAATGATTGAGAACCACAATTCAGTATTAACAACCCCCCTCCCCTGGAGTGGATTTGCCTTTTATTTTTCCTACTCTAAACTCAGAGCGAATTTGCAATAGGAAAATTGCTGCATTTATTCAGTTCTGGAAAATTCTCAGCCTTTTTCCCTTTGACTATTGCTTTTTCCACAGTCTCTCCTTCTGAAACTCCAGTTAGAACTTTTCATTGTACCCTCAGTGTCTTTTAAGTTTGCTTTTGTAATTTTTATTTCTTTATATGGGCTCTGTTCTGGGTTCATTAATTCCCTTTTCCACCATAAGTCTTCAGCTTAATTCTATCACTGATTTTATTTTTTAAATACTTGTAATTTTTTAGGTCTAAGAGCCCTGCATGTTATTTTTCAAATCTGATTTTTTTTTTTAATCTTCTGTCATTGCATGGTAGATTCAGTTTCTTCCTTAATAAATCTAGATATTTTAAACAGAGTTATTTTAAACTTTGTTTCAGATCAGCGTATTCCAGCTCATCTTCCGCTGGTTGGGTCTGCTGACATTTTCTTGCTTGCAAGGTTCCTCATATGCTTTGTAGTATTTGTCTCTGCTTATCTTTTGTAGATGCTACCTTCATGTTCTGTCAGTCTTTCAATCTTACATTCACTCTTTTCTGAACAATTACATTTCCAAATTTTGTTCCTTCAGCCTAGATGCTTTTTCTTCTCCATCCCTGTGCTGTAGTTGTGCCTATCAAATCCAAATCAGCATAAAGTTAGTCTGTTCTTTCAGTTGTAGTACTTTGACTATTTAAATCCAAAACACAACTAAGAAGGAAAGTGGGGCATCTTTTGTATTTCTTTCTTAATGTTTCCACATTTTTAAAAAATGATCTGGCCTTATATAAACATTTTTGAACAAAATTTTATAGAACATAGTAAAACTTACAGAAAATTGGCAATATTAATAAAACTTTGTTCCTATTTTTAATTATATATATACACACATACATATATACACACACACACACATATTTATATATATGCCTCCCTCCTTCCTACCATTTCCCTTTCATTCTCCCACTTATAATCTCATAGTCTGGCTTGCTCAGCACTTGTTCTGTTTGAATTTATCTGGTTCATATATTTATTTGTTCATTATTTTTCTCCTCCTAGAGTCCCTTTTCTCTGTTGTGACACACAGGCTAATGCAGCACCTAGCACATAGTAGGTCTTCAGTAAATATTTGTTGAATAAATCAGGAAATAAATCAGTGCCCATTTTAATGAAAATCACTTCATGGAAAGGGCAGAATTTGTTTATGCCTTCACATGTTTGGTGTCTTCTGCTCACCAGGTGCGGTACTGGAATGGTGGTGGAAAGGAGGAATCATCCAGTAAAGTGAAAGTGGCAGGAAATGAGACATCAGCCAGACTACGGGGCCTGAAGAGCAACCTGGCCTATTACACAGCTGTCCGGGCTTACAACAGCGCTGGCGCCGGGCCCTTTAGTGCCACAGTTAATGCAACCACCAAGAAAACGCGTAAGTATATTCTGATTTATTTAAATGGTAAGGAAAAGTTTGCAATAAAAATGATAGCCTTCTATATTATTTGAAATGGACAACCCACGTCATTAATCTCACTAGATTATATAAACCTAACTCCGGCCGGGCTCGGTGGCTCAAGCCTGTAATCCCAGCACTTTGGGAGGCCGAGACGGGCGGATCACGAGGTCAGGAGATGGAGACCATCCTGGCTAACACGGTGAAACCCTGTCTCTACTAAAAAATACAAAAAACTAGCCGGGCGAGGTGGCGGGCGCCTGTAGTCCCAGCTACTCGGGAGGCTGAGGCAGGAGAATGGCGTGAACCCGGGAGGCGGAGCTTGCAGTGAGCTGAGATCCGGCCACTGCACTCCAGCCTGGGAGACAGAGCGAGACTCCGTCTCAAAAAAAAAAAAAAAACCTAACTCCAAAACCTTAAAACTCAGAGCCACACATACCCTTGTCTTCATGATATCCTTAAATCTTTAGGTAGAGACTCCCTGTGAAAATGAATATGCACCTTTTGAAAAAATCTTAATGTGGGGTGTTAGGTTAAATTTATCCCCTTTTCTTTTAAAATATGGTAAGCTTAGTTGGATTTACATTCATGTATTTTTAGTTTCCCAAAGTTTGACGATTTCTGATAAGCATGAATAAGTTAAAATTAATGCCGAAGAATCAGGAGTGATTTTTCCTTCTTTACCTTTCTTTTCTATATCATTCAAAAAATGGCAATGTACATTAAATGGTTATCAGCAGAATATGATGGTCCTGTGAATGTGTTGATACTCTGAAAAATCTAACCAGAGTTGTCAGTGTTGCCTTCAAAGCTGAGTTTTTGTTAGCTGTGTATTCACAGGTAAATTTGCCAGCTGCAATCATGAGTTACAATTACATTAGTCTACAAGAAAGTCAGTGATTTACAATTTGGGAATGTTGCACACGTATTTCAGTTAATCTAATAGCATAGTATACATTTCAGCATTGTGTTTTATTGTTGTATTGGTGCTTACTCACAATGCAAATGTTTGAGTTGCTGTTGTCATTGCCCTCATCATAGCTAATAGTGATTGAAAACACTGTGTCCCAAGTAATTTATGCTCGTTCCCACATTTAATCCTCATAACTACTCCCAAGAGGTAGATGCCATTATTATCTCTATTTTAAAGGTGATAGAAGTATGGTTTGAAGGGATTAGGTGACTTATGCGCAGTGATACCATACTTTTACTTGCAGAAAATTGTTTTCTTAATTTATTTTCAAATTTCTTAATTGAATAAAAATGTTTGCTTAACTAACTTTATGTAAGAATGAGACAATTTTTATGCTTGGTTGCTAATTTAATTGATGCATTTCTGTTTCCATATATCATTTCCAATTTTTTTGAAAACATACATTTTTTGTCTAAAATTGCAAAGAACTCCAATAATATAAAATTGAATATGATTGACTAGCATTTTTAGGCTAACTTAAAGTAATGTAAGACATAATTCTACTACTTTAGATGTTAATTAACCAGTGTAAATTTTATTAGAGAAGTTTGTATGTTTATCTTCTTTGTATTAGCTATAGAAAAAAGAATGTGGCTAACAATTGGCTAGTACAGTGACCATTGCAGAGCACAAGTTTAGCAACAAACCCTTTGAATTTCTATAGCAAGACCCATTTGTAAGCAACCGACTAATGTAACATTTAACATGATCCTTATCTAATTATTAGAAGAAGTCTAATCTACCTGTTTGTCATACCACTTGGTTACTGTTAGACCAAAGAGCACATGGGTTTGGAAATACAGAAACAAAAAATTCTGTATTTACAACTCTTTACTAAATATGTTTGGTTTTCTTAACAATTCCTACTGAATTAATATGGTCTAAATATACATCATTATTTATATATTCCAAATACAGCATCAATCAAAAATTCTGATTGCAAAAATATATGCAAACAAGTTTATCTGGCTCTTTTCTCTGACTTAATAATTGATGTGATTACTTGCTAGGAAATTATGATTGTAAAAGACAGTGTAACATCATGGTGGAATCAGTGAAGAACTTAGTGGATTCGTAAGACAGAAGGAAGACACTGATTAGAAATCAATAGAAATGTCATGATAATTTACAATGAATGAATGAAAATTTTTAAAAGAAGCAAAATCCCTTTATAATTTAGAGATGGCATATAAATGCCCAATCCAAAGTAGAAATTTGCACATAACAGTGATGCTGATAATTATAGTTGAAACTTACTGAGCAATTTCCAGTGATGGTTCTAAGTAATTTTCATGTATTGATTCTTAATTCCCACAGCAATATCATGACTTGAAGGTATTAGTATGCTTACTTTAGAGAGGAGGAAGCTGAGGCATATGAAGGTTATATAACTGTACTGAGATTGCAGAGTAAGTAACAGGATGGGCATCCAAATCCATAGTCTTAACCACTATGGTATCCTCTCTTTCAGCCATATTGTTAGAATTTTATCACTCATTTAATACCTTTATTTATTGTGATTTTGCTCTGTGCTTAGGATATAGGTAAGATGATCACAGGTTGTCATGGCTTCTCTGCTCATGGAGCTTTAGTTTGATGGGAATTCCAGCAACTGAATGAAATCTCTCAAAAACAATGCTCTGCTATTACCACAATTCAGCTGGAGTCTTTAGGTTGATCTGTAGATGTTATTAAGGACAATTTCCTACGTTGGGTGGGAAATTCACATAGATCATTAAAATCCCCAGTCATCTTAAAATGGCATATAAAGAACATATGTTAATTTTTACATTTTATGTTAATAATTTTTAAATATGTACCAAAATTACAAGTAAAACAGAATCTCTTAGAGCCATTAATAGTATTGTTACTGGTAGCTCTAAATTGTCTTCCTAAGCTTTGACATGGTTGAAGTGCAAATCCTATTTAAAATTTTGATAAGGCTCTTGTGATTATCACTATGAAGAGAATTACTCGTCTGCCTTGGCATAAAGAGCAAAAATAACATTTTTGATTACCTGCTTGCTATCTCTCTTCCTCTATGGATTCTAAACTTTACAGGGAAAGAGTCCTTCTGTGTCGTATTTACCCAGCCACTGTGCCCAGCACAAACCCAGCACATGGGAGCAGCATATTAAATGTTGAATAGATGAATGAAACCTAAAGAAGCAAGCCAAACCTCAAGTACTATTATTAACCAAATGTACTTCCTCTTGACTGCACGTTGCGAATTCAAGACACGCTGCAGTTCTTTACCATCTCACTTAAAATGTGCAAGTTTCATGTACTCATCATTATGGAATTTTGTATGCGAGGCTTTAAATCAGTACAGTTTTTAGATGATATTTCTGATTAAGGTAAAATAACACAAGGATTCTCAAGTACTGTAGCTTCCATTAAACACTTAATTTTTTGATATCCAAATACTTGTGTTTTTTAAAAGCATTTTTCAGTTAAACACTAATTAGCCTCTTTAAGTAATCTAAGATGGGTTTCTGTCACTTACCACTGAAAGAGAGCAAACTCTTAGCATCTTTCATCTCAAGGGACTGATGAAGAAAATTTGCAGATGGCTTAAAAATGATAAGTTGCATTAGTTTCTAAAAGGAAACATTGAGAATTTTATGTTCAGAGTTTGCAAGAGATAATCTGTAGGATGAATATTCTGCTTTGTATAATCAAACAAGTCAAGTGGTAATTCTGACATTCAGTATGAATGGATCCAGACACTCAAACAACTTCCACCAGAATCATGTAATAAGATCTCAAATTTAATAAAACTGAATCGTCGGTTCTCCTTCCAACCCATTTAAATCCTCTCTCTTCTGTGATAGTCCCATTTCCATAAATTCCACTCCAATGTTTCAGTTTCTCAAGCCAAAAATCTTAGAGTCACCCTCGAGTCATTTTCTCTCATACCCTACACGAGATCCAGAATCTTACTTCTACATTTATCAAGAATTTACCACTTCTGGCCAGGCACGGGGGCTCACTCTTGTAATCCCAACACTTTGGGAGGCCAAGGTGGGATGATTGCCTGAGCCCAGGAGTTCAAGACCAGCCTGGGCAACAGAATAACACTGTCTCACTATACTGAGACAGAGAAAAATATAAGAAAATTAACCGGGTGTGGTGGTGTGTGTCTGTACTCCCAGCTACTCAGGAGGCTGAGGTGGGAAGATTGCTTGAGCCTAGGAGATCCATCAGAGCTGCAGTGAACCATAATTGTGCCACTGCACTTCTGTGTGGGCAACAGAGTAAAACCCTGTCTCAAAAAAAATAATAAAAATAAAAAATAGAATATACCACATCTTACACTGCTGCCATACCAGGGTAAGCTGCCTTCAACTCTCTCCTATAGATCAGGGCAATGGCCTCTCACTGTTCATCCTGTTTCTGCCTTTGCCTTGACATCCTGATAATGTCACTTCCCTGTTCAGAACCTTTTTGTCACTTCCCATCCCACTTCAGGTAAATGCTAAATCCTTAAAATGTCCAACGAGGCCTTATACAGTCCACTCCCCAATCTCTGCTGACTCATTTCCTGTTCTTTTCCACCTTGCTCATTCCACTTTACTTCAGGACCTCTGCAGGTACTATTTCCTGTATCTCGAAAGCTCTTCCTACAGATACCCCCATAATGCACTCCCCCATCTCTTCCAGGTTGTCACTCAGCTATCACCTGGGTGCCACCTGACTGCAGCTCCACCTTTCCTGATGCATACCCTCGTCTCCTTCCCTGCTTTATCCTTGTGCATAGCCTCAGAGCCACCACACGTACTTATCTCATGGCTACTCACTTTATCATTGTGTCCCCCAGACATCGTTATGTACTGTCTTAGCCAGAGTGTCAACCCCTTCAGGACAGAGCTATGGCCTGGTTTGATCATTGCTCTGTTCCCAGAGCTCTGCTCCAGTGTTTAAGTAATCTTAGTCAGTGCTCAATAAGTATTTGTTGAACAATGACTCTCTCCATCACTATCTCTGCTCTATGGCAGCATCACTCTAACCAAGTTCTCTCTTCATGGTAGAAAGATTGCCACCAGCACCTCAAGAGGACTGTTGTCTCTCGGCCAATCACACTGGGAAAGGTGGGCAGCTTCTTTCTGATTATTCTACCCAGAGCTAAGTAGGCTTCTCATTGATTCATCTTGGGTGAACAACCAATTGTTGTTTCCAGTTGTGAGAAAAACTGGACCAGCCTGGCCTGGAACACACGCCCAGACTCCCCTGGAACAAGGGGATTCTATATTTTTATGCCTTTGCTAATTATTATGTGTGTCTACTTGGGGAAATAGAAGAATGCCAAATGATACAGTCACTTTTGCTTTTGAGTCTTTGCTTTTCCAAATGAAATGCTCATTCATGTAAGTGGAGCCAAAATCAGTTACCTGGATTTAAGGAAATCAAGTAGGTGTGCCTTTTTTTTTTTAATTCAACTTTTTTTAACTTGTATTTTAATTTTTGTGGGTACATTGTAGGTGTGTATATTTATGGACCACATGAGATCTTTTGATACAGATATGCAATGTGAAATAAGCACATCAGGAAGAATGGAGTATCCATCCCCTCAAACATTTAGCTGTTGAATTGCAAACAATATAATTACACTCTTTAAATTATATAAAAATGTACAGTTATTATTGACTATAGTCACCCTGTTATGCTATCAAATAGTAGGTCTTATTCATTCTATTTTTTGTCCCCATTAATCTCCACTTATTCCCCTCACCCCAAACCCCTCACTACCCTTCCCAGCCCCTGGTAATCATCCTTCTACTCTCTATGTCCATGAGTTCAATTGTTGTGACTTTTATTTTATTATTTTTCCATAGGTTAATGGGGTATAGGTGGTTTTTGGTTATATGAGTTTTTTAGTGCTGATTTGTGAGATTTTGTTGCACCCATCACCCAATCAGTATACATGGCACCCTATTTGTAGTCTTCTGTCCCTTGCCACCCTCCCAACCTTCCCCCCAAGTCCCAAAAGTCCATTGTATCATTCTTATGCCTTTGCATCCTCATAGCTTAGCTACCACATATCAGTGAGAACATATGATGTTTGGTTTTCCATTCCTGAGTTACTTCATTTAGAATAATAGTCTACAGTCTCATCCAGGTCACTGTGAATGCTGTTAATTCATTCCTTTTTATAGCTGAGTAATATTCCATATATATATATGATGGATATAATATATATGACAGATATATGACATATATTCCATATATATGACATATATATGACACATATATGACACATATATATGATGAAAAAATATATATATATATATCAGTTTCTTTATCCACTCATTGATTGATGGACATTTGGGTTGATTCCACAATTTTACAAGTGTGAATTGTGCTGCTATAAACATGCATGTGCAAGTATCTTTTTCGTATAATGACTTTTTTCCCCCTGGGTAGATACCCAGTAGTGGGATTGCTGGATCAAATAGTAGTTCTACTTTTATTCATTAAGGAATCTCCACACTGTTTTTCTCCATGCTGTTTTCCATGGTGGTTGTACTAGTTTGCATTTCCACCAGCAGTGTAGAAGTGTTCCCTGAGCACCACATCCATGCCAACATGTACTGTTTTTTGATTTTTTATTGATGGCCATTCTTGCAGGAGTAAGGTGATATTGTGTTGTGGTTTTGATTTGCATTCTCCGTCATTAGTGGTGTTGACCATTTTTTCATATGTTTGTTGGCCATTTGTATGTTTTCTTTAGAGAATTGTCTGTTCATGTCCTTCACCCACTTTTGTATGGGATTTTTTGTTTTTTTCTTGCTGATTTGAGTTCATTGTAGGTTCTGGATATTAGTCCTTTGTCAGATGAATAAATTGTGAAGATTTTCTCCTACTCTTTAGGTTTTCTGTTTACTCTGCTGACTGTTGCTTTTGCCGTACAAAAGCTCTTTAGTTTAATTAAGTTCCAGCTATTTATCTTTGTTTTTATTGCATTTGTTTTGGGTTCTTGGTCATGAAATTCTTGCCTAAGCTAATGTCTAGAAGGTTTTTTCCAATATTATCTTCTAGACTGTTTGTAGTTTCAGGTATTAGATTTAAGTTCTTAATCCATCTTGAGTTGATTTTTGTATAAGGTGAGAGATAAGGATCCAGTTTCATTCTCCTACATGTGGCTAGCCAATTATACCAGCACCATTTGTGGAAAAGGGGGTCCTTTCCCCACTTTATGTTTTAGTTTCCTTTGTCAAAGATCAGTTGGCTGTAAGTATTTGGGTTTACTTCTGGGTTGTCTATTCTGCTCCATTGTTCTATGTGCCTATTTTTGTACCAGTACCATGCTGTTTTGGTGACTATGGCCTTATAGTATAATTTGAAATCAGGTAATGTGATGCCTCTAGATTTGTTCTTTTTGCTTAGTCTTGCTTGTGGGCTCTTTTATATGAATTTTAGCATTGTTTTTTATAATCCGGTGAAGAATATGGTGGTATTTTGATGGGAATTGCATTGAATTTGTAGATTGTTTTTAGCAGTATGATCATTTTCACAATATTCTACTCATCCATGAGCATGGGATGTGTTTCCATTTGTTTGTGTCTTCTATGATTTCTTGCAGCAGTGTTTTGTAGTTTTCCTTGTAGAGGTCTTTCATCTCCTGATTAGGTATATTCATAAGTGGGTTTCTTTTTTTTTTTTTTTTTTTTTTTTTTTGGCAACTATTGTAAAAGGGGTAGAGTTCTTGATTCTCTGCTTGGTCGCTGTTGGTGTATAAAAGAACTACTGATTTGTGTACCTTATTCTTGTATCTGGAAACTTTGCTGAATTATTTTATCAGTTCTAGGAGTTTTCTGGAGGATTCTTTAGGGTTTTTGAGGTAAACAATCATATCATCAGCAAACAGTGACAGTTTGACTTCCTCTTTACTGATTTGGATGCCCTTTATTTCTTTTTCTTCTCTGATTGCTCTGGCTAGGACTTCCAGTACTAAGCTGAAGAGGAGTGGTGAGAGGAGGCATCCTTATCTTCTTCCAGTTCTCAGAGGGAATACTTTCAACTTTTCCCTATTCAGTAAAATTTGGCTATGGGTTTGTCATATATGGCTTTTATTACATTGACGTATGTCCCTTTTATGCTGATTTTGCTGAGAGTTTTAATCATAAAGGGATGCTGGATTTTGTTGAATGCTTTTTCTGTATCTATTGAGATGATCATGTGATTTTTGTTTTTATTTCTGTTTATGTGGTGTATCACATTTATTGACTTGTGTATTTTAAAACATCCCTGCATCCCTGGTGTGAAACCTCCTTGATTGTGATGGGTTATCTTTTTGTTATGTTGTTGGATTCAGTTAGCTAGTATTTTGTTAAGGATTTTAGCATCTATGTTCATCAGGGATATCGGTCTGTAGTTTTCTTGTTTGGTTATGTCTTTTCCTGGTGTTGGTATTAGGGTGATGCTGGCTTCATAGAATGAATTAGGGAGGGTTCACTCTTTATCTTGCTGAATAGTGTAAACTGGATTGGTTCCAATTCTTCTTTGAATGTCTGGTAGAATTCTGCTGTGAATCCTTCTACTCCTGAACTTTTTTAGTTGGTAATTATTTAATTACCATTTCAGTCTTGCTGCTTGTTATTGGTCTGTTCAGGGTATCTAATTCTTCCTGATTTAAGCTAAGAGGGTTGTATCTTTCCAGGAATTTACCCATCTCTTCTAGGTTTTCTAGTTTATGTGAGTAAAGGTGTTCCTAGTTGTCTTGAATGATCTTTTGTATTTCTGTGGTGTCAGTTATAATATCTCCCATATCATTTCCTAGTGAGGTTATTTGGATCTTCTCTCTTCTTTTTCTTGGTTAATCTTGCCAGTGGTCTATCAATTTTATTTATCTTTTTGAAGAACCAGATTTTGTTTCATTAATCTTTTGTATTTTTTTGTTGTTTAAATTTCATTTAGTTGTGCTCTGATCTTGGTTATTTCCTATCTTCTGCTAGGTTTGGGTTTGTTCTTGCTTCTCTAGTTCTTTTAGGTGTGACCTTAGATTGTCAGTTTGTGCTCTTTAAGTCTTTTTTACGTAGCTGTTTAGAGCAACGAACTTTTTTGTTAGCACTGTCTTTGCTATATCCCAGAGGTTTTGATAGGTTGTGTCTGTATTGTTGTTCAATTTGAAGAATTTTTAAATTTCCATCTTGATTTCATTTTTGACCCAATGATCACTCGGGAGCAGGTTACTTTTCATGTATTTGTATGGGTTTAAAAGTTTCTTTTGGAGTTGATTTCCAGGTTTATTCTACTATGGTCTGGGAGAGTGCTTGATGTAATTTCAATTTTTTTTGAAGCTCATTTCCTGGTCTATCATTTGGCCTATCTTGGAGAAAGTTCCCTTCACTGTTGAATAGTATGTGTATTCTGTGGTTGTTGGATGGAATGTTCTGTATATGTCTGTTAAGTCCATTTGTTCCAAGGTATAGTTTAAAACCATTGTTTCTTTGTTAACTTTATGTCTTGATGAGTATCTAGTGCTGTCAGTGGAATATTGAAGTCCCCCACTATTATTGTCTATCTATCTCATTTCTTAGGTCTATTAGTAATTGTTTTATAAATTTGGGAGCTCCAGTATTAGGTGCATATATGTTTAGGATTGTGATATTTTCCTGTTGGACAAGGCCTTTTACCATTATATAATGTCCCTCTTTATCTTTTTAACTGCAGTTTCATAAAAGTTTCTTGTGTTTGATATAAGAGTAGCTACTCCTGCTCGCTTTTCATGTCCATTTGCATGAAATACCTTTTCCTACTTTAAGTTTATGTGTGAGTCCTTATGTGTTAGGTGAGTCTCTTGAAGACAGTGGATACTTGTTTGGTGAATTCTTACCCATTCTGCAGTTCTGTATCTTTTAAGTGTAGCATTTAGGCCATTTACATTCAATGTTAGTATTGAGGTGTGAGGTACCATTCCATTCATTGTGCTATCTGTTGCCTGTGTACCTTGGTTTTTGGGTTTTGGTTTTTATGTTTTAAATTGTATTTTTGTTTTATAGTCCTTTGATATTTATGCTTTAAAGAGGTTCTGTTTTGATGTATTTCCAGGATTTGCTTCAAGATTTAGAGGTCCTCTTAGCAGTTCTTG